GCCCCTACCCCCTGGGGCAGGACGCGGAGCTGGGCGGCGGCTTCCCTCCCTGTGCCCCCGCCGTGTACTCGGGGAGCATCTCCTCCTCCGCCGCCGCTCAGCACCCGCTCCCGCACCAGAGCTACGCGGGGGCCTCCGCTCAGTACGTGCCTCCCCCTTACGGGCAGGAGCAGCAGAGCCTGCCCCTGGGCACCTACAACCATGCCCTGTCTCCCCTTCACGCTGGCCACCGGGAAAACTCCCGCTCCCCCTCCACCGAGACCTCGCCGCCGGCGCAGACCTTCGACTGGATGAAAGTGAAAAGAAACCCACCCAAAACAGGTCAGTGGGCGGCGGGAGGGCCGGGGCGGGGGCCGCTCCTCTCCGTGGTGCGGGGAAAGAGGCGCGGCGTCCCGCGGGGCAGCAAGGGCGGCCCGCACCTCTGGGAGCAGTCGCGGCTGTCTGCCCGCGGAGCTGGAAGCCAGCGCCGCTTATTCCTCGCTTATTCCTGACTCCCCCTTCTCCTCCTCTCCCGTGGTCATATTTCTGGTAATTCATAAACCACTTATCAAGTTTGCTCTGACACTAGAGGCTGACTCCGGTTTAGCACCTCGCACTCCATCACTCACCCTGCCGGGGTTTCCCTCTTATCCTAAGAAGTTCTTGCTCCCTATCGCTTAGCCGGTGTGGACACATTGATTACATCGCCTATAAATCATTTGCGCTCACTCACCGCTGCATGTCCCTTCGCAGGCAAAGCCGGCGAGTACGGCTTCGTGGGGCAGCCCAACACCGTCAGAACTAACTTCACCACCAAGCAGCTCACCGAGCTGGAGAAGGAGTTTCATTTCAACAAATACCTGACCAGGGCCAGGCGGGTGGAGATCGCCGCCTCCCTCCAGCTCAACGAGACGCAGGTGAAGATCTGGTTCCAGAACCGGCGGATGAAGCAAAAGAAACGGGAGAAAGAGGGGCTGCTGCCCATCTCCCCCTCCACCCCCACGGGCTGCGAGGAGAAGGCGGAGGACTCGTCGGAGAAGTCGTGCTCCTCGCCCTGCAGCGCCTCGCCCGCCTCCTCCGCCTCGGACACTCTGGCTGCCTCCAACTGAGCCCGGCCGCACGGCGCGACGGCCCCGCCAGCTCGGCACGCGTCCGTCCGGCTCCCTTGTGTGGGTCCCTCGGTCGCTCGGTGTCCCCGAGAGGTCCCGGCGAGCTGCCGCTCCCTGCCCCGCTACCTCCGCCGCCCGGCCCCGGGGCTGCCGGCTCCGCCGGGTCCCGGCGCCTCGGTGCCAGGGGATTTTCTGCCCGGCCCACCTCCCCCTTCCTTTTCTGCTGGAGGAGCTGTGTTGGCACACGCGTAAGGGTCTCCCTCCTCCGCTGCAAGGACGCTCCACCGAGTTCCCCTGAGTGAAAGACAGGTTATTTAGGGTACATAACCTCACAAAGAGATGCACTATTGCAAGTGTTTACACGACTTATAGGACTTTCATCCCCTTAATTTAATGTATTCTTTGTTCGTGTCAATGAGTTTGTTGCTTGTAAATACTTTGTCCGAGAGATTTATCTTTTTACAGATTTTTCTAGAATGATGTTTCGATTATCAGGTTAAGCAGGGTGAGTGCATTCGCCAAACTGGATCCATTTTTATATTGGTAAAGTAGACAACCGTATAAAGTAAACGTCTTAAGCTCAAGCAGATACCTCAAATAAGTAGCGCTATTTCCTTAAATGTGACAAACGAGGCTTCAATTGCACTAGGTTTTTTAAACCTTACCCGGTGTGCTTGCTCCCTCTCCTTTTCCCCCCACCCCAAAAGCTGTGTTGGATTATGCTCAGCTGAGGGGTACAACCATCCAAAAGACCTCTTCCTATTTTCATATTAACCTTCCTTTAGACTCGATGTCTTTTCAAACTACTCGTGAATGTGACAAATGGCCAAATGAATGTATAATTTCTGTGGTTGGTGTCCAGACCTTTGCATGACGCACCGTGCTTTGCTGTACTGCGGGTACACTGAGTTCTATCAGTTGTCGTGTGTGAGCAAAATGTCCTCCTGATTTTTCTGTACAATCATGAAAGGCTCTGTGATTCCACCAGTGGTGGAATCCAGGGCAGGATTTACGGGTCCTTATAATGTCTGTAATAAATATATTCCACTTTCAGGTAGCCCTCGTCTGCCTACTTCTGCGTGACGTCAGCGCTGAGTCACAGGCTGGGCTCAGCAGTTTTGTTTCTCTTATTTTCTCCTACTGGAGTCTTTCCAAGGGGGGAAAGGGAGTAAGAATCTCACAACCTTACTCCTCCTATGTTGTTTTGGCGGCCAGAGCTCTGGCTGCCCAATCTGACTTCCTACACAAAACTCCTTCCTCTCCTATGCTCAAATAATATTATTTTTAGAAAATATAAGGTCCTTCTCTCCATTCTCTGTAACTGGGAGGAATTTATGATCCCAATCTAATTCTGAAGCACAAACAGGAGAACTTCCTGGGTCAAGTGCTAACCTTTTCACCTCGGGATGGATGCTGACACTTAAATAAACAGAGCACCCTGCAAAAGCAGAAACTCTCTTCAGCCAGTCTTTCCTCACACTGCAGGCCCCTCTCCAAGGACTGCACATTTAATTAGCCTGGGCACTGAGCTTGTCCGGCTTCTCTCTCCCACCCCAAGCTGCTATCCCCAGCGCTTGATGGGGTGCCAAAGCGGGAGATGGCTCCCGGTGTTTTTGGTGTTAACCCCAGCCCGTTCCACCGTCCCCTCCCCTCTTTCTCCATGCCCCCCCCACCGTCTCCTCGGTGTGCAAGAGAAAGCTCTTGCAGGTAAATATAATAACTATTCCAAGATATGTAAAGTGAACTGCGGGTCGGGAAGGGAGAGTTGCCGCTGTGGGGAGAACCTGGGTGGCAAGACAGAGCAGAGACCTGCTCAGCTGGACGGGGGCTGTCTCAAGTCACTGATGCCTCTTGAATTACAACGCAAACACGCCTAACATCTCCTTCACCCGGCCCAGCTGCGGGAAGTGCCACCGGCCTTCTCCCGGGGCTGCTCTGCCCACGCAGGCTTTGCTTTGCGGGATCCGCCGAGAGCCGACGAAATTTTCTTCACTTCGGTGTCAAAAGAGACAAGCCTTGATTTGCAAGGCGCGGCGGCCATATCAAGAGCCGAGCTATCTGCAAAGGAGCAGGGCTGTCTCCAAAGGCTCCCGCCGATGCCTCTATTTCTTTCATTTCCCCGCCTGCCATATACTTTACCTTTTGTTTATTAGTGTAAAGCCACAAAGCAAAACAGATGGCCTTCTTCCAGAGTCTTGGATGTGTTAAAGTGGCATTTACATGCCAATGAGGGCATTTCAATATCGAAATCTGGATCTAAACATTGCTGGAATCCGGATCTACAACTCGATTCCACCGGTGTTGACTCAATGTGTTAGAAAGAGCGGCCATAAATTACAGCCTAAATACGAGAGACAAGTCAGTGCATCAATCTGTGATGAGCGATTCTCGAGCACAGAATCCCATCTCCTTCCAAGCCCAAACTCCATATATATATATATATATATATATATATATATATCCCCCGCAGTCATAACGTATTTCAAGCAAAGACGCTCCAAACCTCCCCATCTTGTCTCGTTTATTTAGCGTTAATACTATTTCGATACCATCAGTCTTTGGGTTCAGAGATGCAGCAAAGAGAAATGAAAATCTCTAGCCTATAGTTTCGAGCGCAAAAATGTCGCTTAAAAAAAAACCCACAAAGTGCTTTAAATGAAGACAGTAATTTACCCTTCATGTTGTAAGGATTTTTTTTTTTTTTACGCATTTTAAAATTAAAAAAAAACAAAAAAAAAATCTGTCCAGAATCTCAGGGGAAAAAAATGAAGAAAACCCCCTCCTCTCATCAAAACCCGTCAACAAAAATCGCATTCAAATGTCAAACGGAGTTTAGTATCTTCCTATCATACTTAAGGCCATTTCTGCTGTTCACCTTTAAAGTTTACTTTTGGAGGCTATTGAGATGCTTTGGTGTTTTCCTCTGGGGCAATCAGATTGAAACCGATCAATATTTACTCAGTCTGAAAGGGCTGTTGAAAAGGCAGCTAACAACAAACTGCTTAGCTGCTCTCCCCTCTTTAATCTCAGGTTCACCGAAAGTTCAAGCAGAAATGAATTCGGTGATGGGTCACTTTAGAATAAATCCCAGTAGTTAATCTCACAGCCTTGATAAAGGCAACAATTACAGAGTCATCCCTCTCCCTCTCTCTCTCTCGCTGTCTCCCCGGCCGCGGCAACTTTCCTCTCATTTTTTGCCCAGCAGATTTTTACTAAATTTTAACATCTTTCCGCTGTTTTGCGGAGACAGCAAAAACCCGGCATCTTCCCCGCGCTGCATCCGACGCTCAGGCGGGTATCCCCGGCGAGAGGTACCGGAGCGAGGGGAAAAATATCCATCCCGCAAAGGAGCCGGCATTTGCAAGCGGGGGTCTGGGGGAAAAGGGAGGGGTGCTTGGGGTTTTCTCCTCAGCAGTGATGAGGAAGGGGATGGCTGGAGAGCCACCCGGCAGCTGGAGGCGCTGGAGGAGCCGCGCTCCCTTCTCCATCCTGTATGGGAAAAGGGTAGAAATCTGGGCAAAATGCGATAGACGTTAATTGCTGGGACTCTTCAAAGGCCAAAGTTCACATAATCACTGCATAAATGCATGCTTAATAGGGATTTATTAGTAACTCTCTAATGGCAGCTCACGTTTGGGCTATAGACTCGGGCGGCTTTTTACCGGCAAACTGCTTTTCCAGAGCCATGCCCCCTCCCTCCCAGGAACTGCCGGAGGACCCCGGGCACGGAAGGCGATGAGCTCCCGGCCAGGCCCCAGCAGGGGATGCTCCGAGCGGGGCCGGAGTCCGGGGCGGCCCTCGGGAGAGCCCGGGAGCCGAGCTGGGGACGGCCCTGGGGGAGGCGGCTCCTGCCCGCGGCACGGCCGGGCCCTGGAGCCGGCGGAACACCGGGCTGGCATTTTTTTGTTTTTTTGAAGGGAGAAAGAGCAGTTTCGGAATGTTTTCCGCGTCAGCTTAGGAGCAAGAGCTCTTGTTTGTTTTTATTTAGTAATTAGCTCTGTGAGATCACAGTAAATTGGTAACCACAAAAAAGCATTACATAAATAATGAAATTAATAACATAGGAATAAACAGATATGTAATATTTTTTGAGAATCCTTCCTTCCTTCCTTCCTTCCTTCCTTCCTTCCTTCCTTCCTTCCTTCCTTCCTTCCTTCCTT